TTTTTTTTATCGTTATTTCATTATTTCAGCCGTAAAGTTTGACTTCTTCTCTCACAGATGACCCCCACTTTTCTTCTAATGATTAAAAAATCAATTTTCAAAATCACTTCCAAACGAGGCCTAAGTGCTTGATTGGTAGGGATTTTGATAATTTATTTTTTGACCGTTTGAGAGAAAGTAGGTCTATCTGTGAAAGAAGAATTAAAAAATGACAACTGGAATAGTGAAATAACGATAAAAAAATTGATTTTAATTGGTTTAAAGTTTAAATCAAACAAGCTCTAAATGCTTATAATTAAAATAATTATCTAATTTGGATGTCCAAATCCATTATGTACCACCATAAAACGTGTAAACTCAAAAATTCTCGAGTGATTAACCAACTGATTGTGACACGCTACCGCCACATTAAAAAATAATAATAATAATAATAATAAATAAAGAATTGGTGAGCTTGTAGTTTACTTGCCTCCCCGCCAAAAATGGGACTTGCATTTCCCTATTTTATTACCTAGAATGTCAAGCATGATGCAATGATACTTACATGAATAATGAGTCAATCTGTGAAAACATAACTTCTAAGTAATAAACAAAAACGATTGGTCTAATCAATACTAAATGTATTGCACAAATTAATAAAATTTTTAAAATAGGATAAATGATTCGAATTTGTACAATATTTTTTGACTTATTATCATATTAAGTGGAGTTTGAGTAACTTAAAATTCGTTCTCGCTGTACTTACTCTTTTATTTAATAGGAAACTACACCAACGACAATCTCTTTTTTTTTTTTAACTGCTTCATTTGATTAGTTATCATGCTGATAGTAAGATAATGAACAAATGTCTCTAGAAAATCGAGATAAAGGCAATGCATCGGGGTGGAAAGAATTTAGATTGAAGCAGGGTTTGAAATTTGGGATTGAGGGAATTGAGCTTGTTGAAAAAGGGTCTTGGAATCATGATTTATGGGTATCTAAGTTTGTTGCACGTTGTCTTTGGACAAGAACAAATATAGAAAAAGATTTTGAAGTTCAAAAGTTTAAGGATGTTACACTGATCGGAAGAAGGAAGTAGTTTGCTAGTTGCTCCCATAAAATCACTTTCAAACAAGATTACGAGACTGTATATTAGAAAGAAACTCGTTTTTATCTCAAGAGACAATTTCTCAAGTTTTTTGACACTAGAGGGAGCACAATTATTTTAAGGAAACATCGTAAATTCGATAGGTCTAAAAAATTGTTTGGTTACCTTACAACAATTGTAATTTTACTGTAGTAAATTTTGAATGCATATCCTAACATAATAGGAACAACGAACTTGAGTTTTGCCACTAGGAAAATCGATTAAAATACCACTAATGTGAGGGTTATCAATGTTTGCGGTACTTTCTCCTTTTTTCTCTTCTATAAAATTTCAACTATAGCATCACCTCTCTCTGTAGGGAAAGATAAATGCTCCCTACCCCCCGGGGCACATCCAAGTTGGCGGAACAATCACATTGGGGGGCTCTGGAACCAAGCGTGGGGAGTTCGATTCCTGGAAGGCACAACTTGAAAGGCAAGATTTATCTTGGAAGGCAAGTTGCTGTAAGGCAGTGAAGGGCACATCCCGCGATTTATCTCCCTGAGCTGCTGAGGGGCCGGAAGTTCAGGGATAAGGATATAGTATGGCGCAAACTGGGACACCCCGTTAAAAAAAAAAAAAAAAAAGAAGAAGGATAAATGCTCCCTATACTTTCTTAAAACGTAACTCGTCATTATTTTAATTCAGATTTCGAGCTTTTCTTCAATTAGCTTATAATTCAAGAATGTAAATGTGGACCTCTACTTGACTCATCCAAACTTAATGACTTAAAAGTGAGTATGTTTTGAATAAACAAATTATTAAAGTTCATTTAATTCTCTAGTTGTCCATAACTTAAAGATGGTATCCGAGAATTTTCTTAATTAGAACTATACGAAAGGATCGATTTTTATTAATGAAAACATTACCATGATTGATAAAAAAAATATTGAGATTCATCCTTTTTATTGTCTCTCTCCTTAAAATGTTCTCAATTTTTTCTTTATTAACAAAAGAGATCTACCCTATTTTTATATGGAATGTCTACCAACTTGAAGCCTAGGCCAAAGTCCACGGACAAAGGTAAATCCATGGACATCACAGTATAAATCGGCTCCTCTTATTATTGCAAGAAACGATAACATGTACATATGATCAACTTCACATAATAAACAAGTTATCCATGATAGAAAACACACACAACTAGGTACAAGACGCTTAAAAGTAACCATGGCAATAACTATAAAAACATGACAGATTTCTAAATTTGTGATTGATATTGTTGACATATTCTTATATGTGATTATTAATAAAATTACTAACAATATTGCTGTTAGTATATATTGACTAAGATGTGCTAGTGATCACCAACAATATCAAAGTTGATACTTTTGTCTTAATCACCAATAGATTGATTTCAATTTAGAATTAGCAACTGTCATATAATCGATGATCATCGTCGAAATTTTCAAGAGTGATTATTTGCTCGATAATTTAGTTCATTATTGTTCTCGAAAATGCCCATAAACTATTTTGCTTCCCCCACATTGTTTGAGCTAACTTTGGAGCAGAAATGTTGTTGTCATCACTGTTGTTAAAGGTTTTGGGTTGGAGGGTGCAACCAATATCATTAAAATTGCCTTTTCATAATTTTCTTGTCACATTAAAAATATATATATATATATATATATATATATATATATATA